GGGGCTGCCAGGATCACTCTTCTTTCATCTGCTCTTCACGAAGAACAGATTCTAGCTGAGAGTTGGTACCCGGATTTTCCAGGGACATCATGGAGAAAAGTGACAGTAGGAATGTGGATGCGGTCAAGCCTTCCCAAAGACTGAGTTGGTGGGTAGAGGACTTCACGGCAACATTGGTCTACGTCCCTGGCACTGAATACTAGCCATGCCCGGCCTCCCAGAGGACATAGGTGGTGCAGGCTACTAAGATTGGACTCCAGTTTTGGCCTAAAGATTGATGGCTTGAACTTGCTTTGTAGGCACCAAGGGGGAAAGGCCTGGCAGTCTGTTTCCATAAAGATCCCAGCTAAGAACACCCTGTGGAGACTTTGTCCTATACACACGGGGTTGCCCTGCATGCGGAGGGAGGACCGAGAGCTTGGGGACTGCTTGGGTTAGGTTTGAAGGACCTGCTGCCCCGAAAGAAAGTGGAGACGAGCAGAGCATGGAAGGCATTCTACCAGCCCCATGCCCCACTCGGAGTCACAGTGCCACCTGTGGTGTTGCGCCCTGCAGGGACTGGAAGTAGACGTGCCATGCACAGAACCACACTGTCGCACAAATGGAGAGTCCACTCCGTCAGAGACCCTAGGGAGAAATGACTGTGAGCAATCTTACCATGATCTCTGGCCAGAAGATTGGCTTAGAAGTTGGGGCTCTAACATAGAAGGCTAATTTTCCTGAACTTTCACCCTTTGCGGTTTTTTTTTGGGGGGGGTGGTGTTGTCTGTTTGTTGTTATGACAACCCACAATAAGAAATACATTTAAGGGTGAGGGGACACAGAGGAGGTAGTGAGGTGAAGGGTTCATATAGAAAAAGAATGTTTGGAAACTTGACGGTGGTAGCAAATGTACCATTCTGCTGGACGGGATTGAACTATGGAATGATTTGACATATGTAGTAATCCCAATTAATTTTTTTTAAATGCATTTTATATCCTGACCTAATACACACGCACACACACATTCCCCTGAAGCAAAGGTTTTATTTTACAAAGAAAACGAATGCTTTCCCTCCCGCATGTCATACACTCTTGATATTGTCTCTCCTGTGCTGACTTTTCCTCTGCTCCTCTCCACCCCCAGCCCAGCCCCTAGACAGACTTCAGAAAGCCCCACTAATGGGTGGAAGGGCAAGGTTTGAAAACTCCGCTCCGAGGTAGCTCCCGGAGGCTCCATGAGGTGAAGTTCTGTCTAGACTGGATGGATTCAGGAAAAGAAGGGCGTCTTAGACATCCGTCCGTGATGCTCTGAGATTCTCTTTGGTCTCTCCTCCTGCCTCCTTTGTTGGCCGAACGGAAGCTCCATCTCCCGCCGCCTGGGCAACAGCTCTACCATCCTGACCCCACCACCGCTGCCACCACGGACTGCAAGCGGAACCACGCCCTCTTTTGTCGCAGCTGACCTCCCTGCCCAGAGCACGGACACCCCCTCTTCAGTGCCACTCTTACAAGCCACCCAGCTGGAAATTGTGGCAATATCTTCAGTGCTTTTCTCCCCCGTCCTCTGCCCACATCCAGTCAACAGCAAAGCCTTAGTGCTTCCAATACCCACCCTGCCCCCAACTCGGTGCCCTCCTCTCCACTCCTTCATCTTCTCCAAACCAGATGATGGAACTCTGTGGAGTTCCTTAAGGAATTGGAGAGAAGGCTACGCGGTATACATGAGGTTCCCAAAATGATGTCCATGCTGGTCCTCTCCCTCACACCACCACTCTGCCTTGTCACGCTCTTCATGCGGATGCCATTATCAGACACGGACCTTTCCCGTTTATGGATCTCCTTGGGCTCAATGCCAGGCTCATGATGCCCTCTAGACATTGCCATCCCCACCACAACCCGGGCAGTTGGTGTGACCAGCGCGTCACCGAAGAGAGATTGGAAGGTTAGGGAATTTCAGGAACAGGCCCAAGGCCACACAACTAACTCGGTGACAAAGCCCATTCCCTGGGTGGGAAGCCTGTCTCCTCCCCCGCAGGCTTGCGCTGCCGTCCTCAGTGAAGTGCAGGTCGGACGGAAGGCAGTGCGTGAGCCTCCAGGTGGAGGCAACCGGACAGTCCACAGCCCCCTCCCAACCCTCTCCCTTTGCCCCCTTGCAGCCGCTACTGGCGCCGGTGGAATCGGTTCTGCCGAAGGAAGTGCCGCGCCGCCGTCAAGTCTAATGTCTTCTACTGGCTCGTGATCTTCCTGGTCTTCCTGAACACGCTCACCATCGCGTCGGAGCACTACAACCAGCCCTACTGGCTCACGGAAATCCAAGGTGAGAGTGGGTGTCTGCCTCTGCCCCTGTTGACTCTTGTTAAGCCAGCCCCGCCCGAGCCCCAGGGAGGGAAGGACCCAGGCAGAAGGTGGGTGAGGGAGCAGCCGAGAGCCCTGCTTCTTGGCAGGGGCCATGCTGGTGACACTGAGGGTCTGGCAGCACACAGGCCCTTCCGTAGCATGCCTGGCCTCATTGTCAACAGACGTGGCTCACCCGGTGGGACCCACACCATCCTCCAGCCCCCACCAGTGGTCACGGTTGGGTCCAGGTGACCAGGACATGAGCCAAGTGACCCTTGGCTGCCGACTTCCCAGAATGGATGCCCAGTACCTCAGGTGGGCCTGTCTGAAATATCTGCGGATGGGAGGTGCCGAAAGGCGGGGAAGGGGAAACTAGATAGTGGCTTGTGCACAAGGAACCACCCCCAGTGGAAGCCCCCAGTGAGAGCCCCGCGCCTTCTCACTGGCCAGTGCACCAGTGTAGCCCCCAGCAGTCATGCGGACATGATCTGTCCCGGTCGCCATCAACCTGGAGACAGCTGGAGCTAATCGTGCAAAGCTCAGATTCAGACACCTGGCCTTCCACTTTGGGCTGCTTGATTTGGGCCGGTTCCTAGGCTCTCCGAGCCTCACTTCTTAGCTCCGGAATATGGGCGCAATACTGATAGTCCCTTCCCTGATGAGGGCGAAGCCCACGGGGCATCATAAAGCCTGGACTCTAGGGAATGCAAAGAGGTCTTGCTGTCAGGCACCCTCAAGTTGGTGCTGACTCACGGCACCCCTACGCGCAAGAGAACAAAACACTGCCCGGTGGGTCCTGCACCTGCCTCACAGTTGTTCGTATGTTGGGGCCCCTCGATGCACCCACTGTGCCAATCTGTCTTGCCAAAGGCCTTCCTCTTCGTCGCTGCCCCGAAGCTTCCTGAGCGTGATGTTCTTGTCCAGGCTCTCTGCCGACAGCACGTCCAAAGTCCACGCGTACACCGCCCTCCTTCCTCTGAAGGAGCACTCTGGCCGCACTCCTTCCAAGACAGATTTGTTTGTTCTTCCGGCAGTCCATGGTACTTTCCATGAGCTTCGCCAGCAGCCTAGTTCAGATGCACTGACTCTTCCGCCGTCGTCCTTATCCGCGCTCTCACTTTCACGTGCCTGTGAGGCCATTGACAATACTGTGGCTTGGGCCCGGTGCACCTTGGTCCTCAAAGTAACCTCCTTGCTTTGCAACACTTTAGAGAGGTCTAGGGCAGCTGATTGAGCCAGTGCAGTGCATCGGCTGTCTCCTGACCGCTGTGTCCAGGAGCACTGGTGATGGATCCAAGCAACACAGAATCCTTGGCAACCGCAAGCGTGATGTGACTTGTTGGCCCAGTCATGAGGACTTCTGTTTTCCTTCCATTGAGTTGCAATCCATAGGGAAGGCTGCGATCCTGGACCTTCATCAACAAGGGCTTCAAGGTCTCCTCCTGGGCACATAGTAGATGCCCTCAATGACTAGCCTAAAGGTTGGCCGTGGAAGTCCACTAAGTGGCACTTGGAAGAAAGACACGCCCATTGAAACCCAGCCATCTAAACCCCTTTGCAGCACAGCTCCCTGACACACACCGGTCAGAGGCAGCCAGGAAGCCAGCAGTGGTTACTGGGGAAATAACCCAGTAAATGCTTCTTAGGATGAAATGTTGTTCCGCTCTGGCTGAGGGTGAATGGGAGGGGCGTCATGGGTGGGAGGAGTGTTTGGATTTCCCCGTGGTGTTAATTACTGTGTTTTCTTTCTCCCCTCCTTCCCCCAACCCACCCCATGCCTCCGCTTGGGCCCTGCCCTGCCGCCTCTCGTGAACCTGCCAGACACGGCCAACAAGGCACTGCTGGCCCTTTTCACGGCAGAGATGCTCCTGAAGATGTATAGCCTGGGCTTGCAGGCCTACTTTGTGTCCCTCTTCAACCGCTTTGACTGCTTCATTGTGTGCGGGGGCATCCTGGAGACCATCCTGGTGGAGACCAAGATCATGTCCCCCTTGGGCATCTCTGTGCTGAGATGTGTCCGGCTACTAAGGATATTTAAAATCACAAGGTAACCGGCTGCTCACTTTCTTAGCGCACTGGGGCTAGAGGGGAGCGGATGGTGGGTTTGAACCTCCAACCTTTTGTTTGCAGCCAGATGGTAGCGTGGTGTTTAACCCATGGTGCCAAATAATATTTAAGATATATGTGTGTGTTTGTGTGTATCTGAATTGCAATATATTCTGTATTTCTTAATAGGTTGGCTATGGTCAGAACGGTTTGTCCCTAGAGAGCTCTTTCAGAAACACCTTGGAGGAGGGGACTTCAAACGATGTACAAGAGTTTCTACTTTGGTAGCTCAGTTTGATGCCTTGAAAGCACTGTTGGATTGTGTCCAAACAACCAAGTTGGGTGGGTCAGTTACCTAGGGCTAGGGTGGCAGACATACTGTACGTGAACGGCTACCACACAGGCTGTGCTCTCGCAGCCTCGGAGGCTCAAGGGAAGCGTTTCCCGTCCTGCCGACTCTGAGGGAAGGTCCTTGTTTCTGCCGCCATCTGTCGGGGCTCCTTGTGCCGCGAGATCTTGGTGTCTTGGCATCACTCTTCCCCTGGGTCTAGCGGGTTCTCAGCGCAGGAACCCAGGGTCCAAAGGGAGCAGTTCATTCTAGGCTCTTCTTTCTTGGTAGTACTGAGGTCCCGCCCACCTCTCCCTCCCGCCCCACCCCGCCCCTCAACCCCACTCCCCCCACTCGATGGCTTCTCTGTCCTTTTATCTCTTGTAAGATAAAAGATGATACAGGTCACACCTTAGGGAAACCCCTTTACGTCAGCTAAGTGCGGCAACCTGAGTAAAGGTGCAGCATCCCATCCTAATCCCCTTGATTGGCTGGTCACCACAGACTGCATCACGGGAGAGATGGTGGCATCCTTCGGAGCTATCAGATGACATCATTGCCTAACTGCCAAACCACTGAGAGCCACAGTCTAACCAAGATGTCACATGCTGGGGGAGTGGGGCACCACAATTAAATCCAGGACAGAAAGTCAGTCTTTTCTGTCAAGGACTAGGAATAAGCACACCCTGCTCAGAGGGTTCCTCCGGAGTGGACGAGGTGAGGCCTCAGAAGTCCAGAAAGCATCCTCAGGAATTCTCTTTGCAGTTCCATCAACAACCACCAGCTGCGAATGATCCAGAAAGACAGGTTTTCAAAGAATTCCGTGCCAGGGACCAGACGCACCAAAGGTGTTGTTTTTTAATTATCCTAGTTATTGCTACTGTTATCCTCACCCTTCTCATTAGGAGAGGAAAAGAAGGGGAACAGAGCTAATAGTGGTTGACATGGGCACACACTCTTCCTTCTATTTATTTATCCCCCCCTGTGTTCTGAGAGAAAGACAAAATTGCAGGCCAGGAACGAATCCCAGGAGAAATGAATAGGCTGGCTGAGGAGGTGGCGTTTGTGCATATAAAATGATTCAAGGGACATCTAGATTAGAATACAAGTTAGCAAAACATCCGGAGGGAAATACCTGCTATGGGAACTAGGGACTAAGAGAGAGTCCCTGGAGATGGCTCAATATCAGACCAGGGACCTGAAGAATACACAGAATTTGAATTCTCAAGTTCAGCACTCGTGAGCAACTCCCTTCTTCCCCCTGAATATGAAGGCGCTCTTTCCAGTGTCCTGGATATCGTGACTCTGCAGGAAGTTCGGGTTTAAAAGAAAAGTTATAGGAATAACAACTGCAATCATTGTCACCATGCCTGCGTGCTTACTCTGTACCCGACGGTGAAATGCAAACGCTCCCATGCATTCGCTCAGTCTCTCTGTGCAGTCACCTGCCAGGGAGCGTGGAGGATGGCTACTATGATGTCCTCGTGTGTTAGGTGAGAAAATTGAAGCATAGAGGTAAGTCCCTTGCCCAAGGACACACAAACTGACCAGAAGGAACCCCCATCCCACCCCACCCCCAAAATAAGGAAAAAATCCCTTCTATCAAGTTGACGTGGATTCATCGTGAACCTACATAGAGTTTCTGAAGCTGTAAGTCTTGATGAGAGCAGACAGCCTCATCTTTCTCCTGCAGAGTAGATGGTGGGGCTGAACAGCTGACCTTACAATTAGCAGTGCAACACTTACCCAACAACGTCACCAGCTTCCTGGACCAGAGGAGAAGCTGGAATGAAGTGGCAGGCCTAACTTCAATTTCTGTACCCTGACCATTCCAACGCATTGCCTAGAGATGGGCTAACCTGCCAGGTTATGAGCTAAATGGCCCTGAGGCAGGATGTTAAGGATTTTGGCACACTGATGCTTGTTGTTAGATCATTACCAATTCCACTTGGAGTTTTCATTGCACTCTTAAATAATTCTCCAAAGTTAGGGGGGCTTGTTTGTGTGAAGATTTCTATAGAAGAAAGGTAGTGTCCCTAAATATTGTCATGGCATCTTGAAGAGATTTAGTGTTCATTCTATTTTTAATCACCAATTGATCTGCTTCAAATCTAAAGCTATTGCCAAGGAAACCATCTTTTAAAAGTCTATCTTTATCAGAGAGCTTCCAAAAGGATTAGTGGTATTTTCAGATCTCCTTAAAGCCTATAAACAGAATAATTTCATTATCGAATCAGAAGTTATCTTCCGCGAAGGCCGCCCTCTTCCTGTTTTCCAGTCTCCGTGCATACTGGGGCCCGATGAGGACAGCTAGAACAGCAGTGAGGTGCACCGTGCTGGGGGCTCCCAGCTCCTCTGACCGCCATCCCTACGCCCCAGACGTGTGTAGGCACAGTGCCCTCCAGGAACCCAGAAAGCATCATGGTCCCTTAAACTGGGCTTGGATTGGCCATCTGTGCATGGTTCTTCCAGCCAGACAAATATAGCTCTCCCTCTTCTTGTAAAAATCTCTTGGAGAATACTTTGCTAAACCTCAGCATCCATTTGTTGGAGAAGCATTTGGGGGGATGTAGTCCTAAACCCATGGTTGTAATTCTCACACACACTTAAGTTTGAGCTCATTCGGGGAACTCCTGCAGAGCCCTAGAGATCTGAGCCAGCCAACCCTGGGAAGTTCCTGCTGGTGGTCCAACGACCTCACTCTGAGAAACACTAATCTAATTTCCGGCTACTGTCTTTTGTTTACTTTCTTGTCTTCAAATATGATCTTTCCTATGGAATTGGAAAATGTGATTCTTACCTTACCATTCCCTAGACCGGAGTGCAGATTGTGTGTATGGTTGTTCTGAACTGAGAAAATGTATCATGCCGCGACTTTATGATGAATTCAGCATAGCACTGTCTGTCTATATCTTTGACTAGTGGGAGTGCACATGGAAGACAGGCTTGTTTATGTATTCTGCTGCTGTGTTTGATGTCCTGTACATTTATAGATCCCTTCCTGTTATTCCAAACTGCCCTTTCCCCACCCAGGGCGCATGGTCTATGAGCTTCTTAGAAAGACTGATCTGGATCCCTGGCTTACTCGACGATGCTGTCTTGGTACACTGGTATGTCCAAAGTAGTGGCTGTGTGCAGCCATCATTTGTTATTGGCTCAGGGACTAAGGAGCTCTGCGGCTACTGCCAAGGTCAGCAATTGAAACCTACCCGCCACTGAGAAAAAGGCAAGGCAACCTGCTTGTGTAGCTAGGACAGCCTTCTGCGGATAGTACAGCCCAGCGTCTGCAGACCTAAACTCTATGGGGCATTCTGCTGGGCCCTACAGGTCCCTGTCAGTCTGAATCTACCTGACGGCAGCGAGGGTTTTTGTTTGGCTTGGTTTTGGAGGGGAGAGGAGTTTTAAGAGCTAAAATAGGAAAGTGTGTGAATGATATACTTCTGACAAAGTAAATACAAATGAGTTTGGGATTGCCCTGGCAACACCATTACTGCCCATCACTGGTATTCCCAAGGACTCTGATGAATGGGCAAGAATGGGGTGGGCTTACAACTTGTACAGGCTGCCGGAAGGGAGCCAGGGTCTCTGGTGTATCATTGTGAGGAAATGGAGTTTCGGGCGTGCTGAGGTCTCCGTTAGATGTTTGTGCTTGTCCAAATCGGGGGAGGCCTAAGGGAGTATACTATCTATATGAATATCATCCATCCTATGTGTCTCATGATTTAAAGCAGAACAGGGAGACCCCTGAGTGGGTCTGGAAGTCTCTTGATGCATGTGTGCTCATTGTGCTGTAGCACTATTGCCTGAGAAGTTATGAAATAGGGAAGGCATGCGTTCCACCTGAGTGGCGGCTAGCATGCACAGGGCCTGACTCTCTGTCGTCTTTGCTGAATGTCATTTTCATCCCGTGACAGTAGACCATCCAGGCACGTGATGGATTGAGTTCTTTCTCCTGCTTTGAGACTTCAGTGGGTCCCAGATGTTGCTCAGACGCACTATCTGTTTTGTCTACGCTTTGTCAAGCCCAGTCTGACATATTGTTCTGTGGGGAGGAACAAGGGCTTCAATTAGATTAAATCTGGAAATGATTCCAATTTACTAATTACATCTAATTCTTATACAGTTTGTTTTTGAATGCACCAAAATCCCCCTGGCCCTTACGATGTTCCTTCTCAAATCTTCCAACTCTTGGCTTTCTCCTGTGGTTCCTCTTCTGCTGCTCGCTTCCCTGGCCCCAAAGGTTAGGTTGGGCCGACCCAGCCTGCCAATTTACTGGCGACTTATGACCACACATGGACCACCACAATAGTCCATGAGAGCCTGCGCTTATCTCCCAGTTCAAAGTGGTGCCCCTGCCTGGACGAGCCTGGACAGCAGGTTGAGCCCCACGCCTCCCCGCTCATCTCCTCCACCTCCCAGCCGCCACCTTCTCAGGACTCAGGAGAACACAAGGCTTCCTGATGACCATTATTCAAGAAGGACCTTTGGAGTGTTCTCAGTTCCCAGCCAGGGTCCACAGGGAAGGCAGGCCAGACTACAGAGTGTGCGGGTGCATCGTGACTGTCAGTAGAAAGAGCAGGAAGGGACTGGCTGCTGTCTCCGACAAGGGATTGGAAGACGCCATGAGGGACGGGGTTGTGCGATCCTCATCTCCGTTTTTTTGTGGGAACGGG